TACAACAGCACCTCAAGCACAGCGCCAATCACCTCAGAGCAAATAACTTCAACTCAATATCAACGAAGATCCCCTAAAAATTAAAACACAAATGGGAATCCACATACAATACCGGATACCACAACAGATATAGTAGTAAATAAAGAGCCATCATATTCCTGTTGAAACAACTCTGCCGCAGATGGTTCAATATGGACCACGTTTTTAACAGAGAATCCGAACTTTATGGACATTGAACCTAAATCAGCTCCCAGTTTTCACTTTCCTACCTAGTCCACCCCATGAGACAACAACGGATGCTGCTATAGAAACTACGTCCTTCAATACGAAACAACTAATATTCGGACTCTTTACATTAACTCCAGTTATATCGGATGATTCAGTATACCAGTGGACTTCAATAACACTTTGAGATCGGATCAAAATAGATGAAAGCATATTTTTGGATACAATAGCTCCGGAAAATCAAGCTTTGAAACACATTACTACTTGGAATCAACACTTACGTGACATTAACTCCAGTTATATCGGATGATTCCAGTATACCAGTGGACTTCAATAATCGCTTTGAGATCGGATCAATAATAGATGAAACGCATATTTCTTTGGATACAATAGCTCCGGAAAATCAAGCTTCTGAAACAACTACTACTACTTCGGAATCGAACACTTACGTGACGTTAACTCCAGTTATTTCAGATGTGATTTCAGCTATACTGGAATCATCCGATATAACTGGAGTTAATGTCACGTAAGTGTCCGAAGTAGTAGTTGTTTCGTATTGAAGAGACGTAGTTTCTATAGCAGCATCCGTTGTTGTCTCATGGGGTGGACTAGTAGGAAAGTGAAAACTGGGAACAGCTGATTTAGGTTCCAGTGTATCATAGAAGTTCGGATTCTCTGTTAAAAACGTGGTCCATATTGAACCATCTGCGGCAGGAGTTGTGTCAACAGGAATAATTGATGGCTCTTTATTTACTACTATATCTGTTGTGGTATCCGGTATTGTATACGTGGATTCCCATTTTAGTGGTTTAATTTTTAGGGGATCTTCAGTTGATATTGAGTTGAAGGGTATTTGCTCTGAGGTGATTAGGCGCTGTGCTTGAGGTGCTGTTGTAGATAATTTAAGTGGTATACAAATTTCTACTCCATCGTTAACGCAGCGGTGGTTAGGGGGACATTGTATCACGATACCCGAAGCATAGGCATTACCTTGAGCATCCCATTCACAATGCTTGTAGTTTAAAGGACCAACGCATACATATTCTTTTCCATAACAGTTGATACCCTGAGAAACACCATATCCTTTTGCTTTTTGGGCTGCCACTGATGAGGCGAACTGCAAATAAAAGATTATTTTCACTTTAGATAGGAGGAAATCTTAGACCACGCACTAAGAACAAAATATACATATTCTTTTCACTTAAATGTACTCCCCCATTTAACACAACTACAGTTTTTACGACGTCAACCAATAACACGATTTATAAAGTACAAGTGCTGCGTATAGCTCTCATTATTCAAAAATTTTTGTCTGAATATCTGGTTAGTTCTTAGTATAAGCTTGAAAATTTATCTATTTACCAGTAGTAGCAATGTCAACCTGGTTATTTTTGTCGTAGTCATCGTTGTGTTCGAAAGTTTTTCGTTACTAATGATTTGCTGTGGCCGTCTTCGTCTTTTATGTGGAAATTTTATCTTAGGAAACTTCATTCAAACTGCTTTGTCAAGATAAGATGTAATATATGCATTAACCTTTTTAGCGAATTAGCACAAACATTGTCTAAGATAACACCAATATACATACGTTTCAGATCAAGAATATGCGGTTATGTTGATGTGCTGTAGAATTTACGATGCTGCAGTTTGTTGGTTGAACTCACTTGGTTTGTCTCTTAACTTGTGTAAAATCTAAAGGGTACGCAATAGTAGATGTTGTCGCACTTTTTTACAGATTCATATACCTAGATATGTATAAAGTATTTCCTGACTAATTGAATTTAAAAATGCACAATTTTCTGCTGACTTGTGAATAGTTAGTTGAAATGCAGAGGAACTTCTTAATTGGAGAACCTTTTCAATCAAAGTGAAGTTAATACGATATTTTTTATGATATTTTTGAAATCATTGTGTTTTCTTAGCAAACCTTATTGCAATTTAAAGCTTCAAATTGTCCTATGAACAAAAGTTCTGAGAATAAAATTTTAGAGAGAGAGAAGATAGTTGAATTCATATTTTCTTTTTAATTTAAGTGTTGAAATTTCAAACAAAAAAAAAACACTTACCACGTTAATTACTAAGATAATTATTAAAGATATTATATTATAAAAATTTCAAAAGTTAAGATTTATACTTTTTTTTTAAATCATTTATTTTAATATTTATTCTGCTGGTCAAACTGGGCCCATTAAATGGAGAATACAGTTATTATTTTTCAAAAAGTATATTTGACAGGCACTTGTTATCTGTCCAAGTCCAAGTGACTCATTGTAAAGTATAATAATAACTGAAATTTAATTATATTTTAGGTTTCGTTGTGAATAAGGTCCATTTTTGAAACGGCTTTGATATATGTATTATTATTTTAACAGAATATGTATGTATGTAGTTAAGTACGTATGTACATATGTATATAGAAGAAAATGTAAGATAACACTTATGAGTCACTATGTTCCAGTGCCTTAATGTTTGTTTGTTTTCCTTATACTGTAAATATTTTGCGGAGCCAATGACGTCACTAAGACATTTTGTTTACATTTGTATGATTAGAATATACAAGTATAAGCACTTTGTTGCCTGTTGGCAGGAAACCAAAAACATTTAAATGTCGATGTTTTTATACAGAAAAAATAGATTCGCCTAGTTGGGGGCCTATGTACAACGTACGTGTCACGTTTTCTCCGGGGTTATCTTCTAAACTACTGAACAGTTTTTGGTAAAATTTAGCACATTGTGCCCAGTTTGAGTCAACTTAAAAGAAAGGATAGTTTATATCTCAATTATATTAAAAGTAAAACAATTCATAAATAAAAAAATATATTTCTAAACATAAGCATGTTTTCAAAATTAAAAAAAAAATTAACTTTTTAGTAAAATTTTTTACAAGTGGTACAAGCTTTCCAAAGAACGTGGAGAAGATATGAACGACGACGCTCGCTCTGGACGCCCCAGCACATCAACAACCGATTAAAATGTTGAGAAAGTGAAGAAAATTGTTATAGAGAACGTCGAGTCCTTATTAGAGAAGTTGTTGAAAATGTCGGTATATCAGCGATTCAGATTTGCTTATATATAACTGGTGGTGAATCATGGGTATGTTATGTATGTATGTATGGGTATGTGTGTCAAAACCAGAGTCCAATAGTCCCAATGGAAGAGCCCAGGAGAGCCAAGGTAAAAGAAAAGTCGCTGAGAGAGCTCAAGGGCAAACCAAAAAGTGTATATCAGAACTGTTTCGAGGATTGGAAAAAACGCTGGAACAAGTGTGTTATATCTGAGGGGGGCTTTTTTAAAAGCGGACAAAAGATAAATATTTTTTGAGAACTGAAAATTATCCCTAACAGACCTTATAGCCATTTCCATTAAGAGTGATATGCTTATTTTTTCAAAAAAAGCCCACTAATTGTTAAGGAAATTCAACTTTTTTTTATTTAATGTGAAGTACAATCGATACTATTAAGTTCTGAATATAACATCATTCAAATGGGCTCCACGCCTTTTTTTGCAGGAACGAATTCGATGAACCCAATTTTCGAATACTTTTTTCACTAAATCAAGTGGTGTGTCATGAATAGCACGTTCAATATTGACTCCTAAAGCTTGAAGAGAGTCTGGTTTACAGATGTTGTCTCTCCATTGACAGTAACGGTGTCATCAGCTTCATTTCGAAAGAACCAAAAACCACACCAAACTGTCCATTTAGGTGAATGTAATGGTTGTTCTTGATAATTTGGGATTTTATTCGAATTCGCAATTGGAGAATTATTATTTTGATAATAAAATTGAATAATTTGTAAACGTTGTTCTTGCGTATATCTTTCTATGTTGTCATTGTAAACATTACTTAATACAATGAAAAAAATTATAGATCATGACATATTAAAAATGGCCGAAATGACACTTAGAAATCATATTATCGGTATTGGAAAACCCGATATAATATGACAATGAGGTGAGTGCCGCCCGATTCATTAATTTATTGAAATTATATTTAATTTATATTGAGAAAAAATTAGTTACATTTTACCATATGTATATTTTTTGTTGATGTTTCATGTGTTCAAGTACATACCATAACATATGTTATCTTAGGTAAAACATCCTGAAAAAACAATGATGCTGATCAAAAAAAATTTTCAATTGATGATGACCGATGGGTTCGAGAAAATTGTATTAATTACGAGGCGTGTTCAAAAAATAAAGGGAATTTTCGTGTTTTGAAAAAAACCATGTCTGGTGAATATGGAGGGTGGGGGTTACAGTACATTGTTTTTGACCAATATTTCATGAACAAGCAACGAAGTGAGAGCTTTTAACAAATAAAAATAGCTAAGCTCATATAAACACGTCTAACCTTCGCGTCTACAGACAAAGTAATACAGCTGAAAAGTGTATCGTACTTTAGGGGCATGTTATCAACACATTAAAAAAAAGTTTGATAATTTGGCTTTCCAAACCCACGAAATAAAAAATTTTAAAATTTCCGTTATTTTCAGCTTCAGGTTTTGAATTATTTAAGAAAATTTATTTTGTATTGTTTTATAGGAGTGAGTGCATGCTCTCATTAACAGTTAGTTGAATAATTCCAGCTTGAGAACTTGATCAATATTTACATGTCGCTCATCGATAAAAAGAAAGCTCCTGAGGTTAATCTAAAGCTGGCGTGCGTTCAGAGAGTGGTAAGTCAAGGTTGGTATGCCACTGTTTTATTAAAATATGATAACAATATGCACATAAGTACATACTATGTAAAGTGTTTATACATATGTATATTTCACATGTAGTACAAACTTTAGTGTTATCTCGAAAACTGCGGATATTGGCGCGCGAAACTGTAATTTAGCATTTTTGTTTGCTTTCTTGTCTTCATTTTGAATGTGCAAACATTCACATCTCCTCAACAAAATTGGACGTCACTGACTACCACCGTCAGTCACTCACTCGCAAGTTAAGTAATATAAATATTTGCCTTCCGGAGCATTTTGCATTTTTTCCCAAATTCTCACTGTCGTCGGCGAGTTAGTCGTTGGGTAACGGAGTCAATGAGCTAATTTTACTGGTAGTCGTATTTTGAGTATAACTTTCTTAGTAGTTTGGTATTTTATTTACCGCAATGTCAGCAGCTAACAGCTAATATTTGCAAAGCATGTAAGTGGCTACAAATATTACTTAGTTGCTACGCATAATACAAGCTCCAACAATTCATGGTTGATAATTAGTTTTTAGTAAAAGTTAAATGTGAATTTGCTTTTCGCTTCGAAACTATAACTGATCTTTGTTGGTTAGTTTCTACCGATTTAGATCAAATTTTACCAAATCTGTGTTTTTTGCTAATTTTCGGGTACAATTTTATTTTATTTATTTTTTGTTTTAGGATATCAATTGCATAATTACGTTTTGAAAATTAAGGATTCTATGTAGATTTGTAAGCTCTTTAATCTGCTTCGCGAAGTACAAAAAAATGAGAGAATATATGCAGAATGCCTTTGAAAAAAGCTCTAAAGCACGTATTGTATATAATGATTTTAACTGCAGGCATTCGTACTGTAATAGGACGATAAAGGCGGCGGGAACATGCGCATACAAACAAAATTCCTTAGACATTTCTGTGATATTGGTACTAGTTGAACAACAACAAAATCACGTTTATTACCGCAATTACTATTTGCATTTCGCTAGAGCATAAGAGTAATCGGATCTAACTATACGTACTGTCTTATCTCCATTCGTAAATTTTAGTCTGAACCTAGCTCTAGAAAATACACCATTTTCTATTTTGTCATTGCCAACAACAGGTGTATATAGGTATATGTATATTTAATTCTGACAATATGCAGGTATATAAACTTTGGTTAGCGAATAAAGCACTTACGTCTGTAGGAACTGATGTCTAAGCTACTTTCTAGTTATAGGAATATTTTGTGGAAGCTTGGTTGATAGACTTACTTCCTCTGGTGGTTTCATGTGTCAAATTTGAGCTTTGCACAAAATTTAAATTAGGCTTTGCCGATCGGTTCGCTGGGACTGAAATCACAGGTTCGTATCAACATCATTAAGTTTTTTCTAGAATATCGGAGGTTAAGGCAAACCTTCGAGTGCATTAATCTTTAGCTTCTCGGTGTCGGTTTAAAACTTGTGGCACCCCTTGCTCGTCGGATAACATGACAGGGTATACCATAAATAGAAGACTTGGCGCATCAAATATTATATTAATATTATATAAATCATCTAGCAATTTATTATAAGCTCGCAGTATTTTCCACTTATAATACAACTTTCCTTTGCTTGACAATTCATACATTAACAAGTAAGCGAAGAAGCAAAGGGTATGTCAGGATGAATGCTTTGCTTTTAATGCTTATCTGTAACAAAAATGGCGACTGTTGCTTGCAAAACGTAAAAAGTTGAGAGTGAACCAGCATT